ATCAAAACCTTATACCCGAAACCAACTCGCTAACCCATTTATATTAAAAATAATAATTTTAACACAGTGGATCGATAGAGAAAAAGTATGTAAATTAGGTTGAATAATGAATGTTTGAATTAAATATTTTTTTTAAATGAGTTATCTTTAAGTCATAGCATATATATATTTTTAAAAAAGTTGGAGTCTATTAAAATTCAAAGTAGGTAAGCGAATAAATAGCTACGTAGGGATATTTCTTGTCATGACTGAACTCTTTTCAAATTTGAAAATAAGATCAAAGGAGCAAAGAAAGCAGTGAAAGTATACAATAATATTACGATGCCTTCCCCAATTGCATGAGCAACATCAGCAAATAATAAATTGGAGGGTTTTCTCTTCCTAATTATAAACATATTATGTTAAATTCACCATAATTTATTATGTTTTTTAAAGTATTTTTTATAATTTATTTGTAATAAATTGTTGTATATCATTTTTTGTCATCATATTTTTGTATTATTTGTTACATATACAAATATATGATTTACGAGTAATTTGAGATGAATGATTATTCAATATAAAGAGATATTTCAATAAAAAAATGTGCCCGGATATGATCTCTATTTTCTTGTAATCCTAAATTTCTATGGGCATCTTCTAAATAGTTCAAATTAAGTTTTTTGAATCCTAAATTTTAATTATTCGATTTTATTGAAATAATGATACGGAGAGATTAAATAAATTATATATGATTTACTAATAAGATTCCAGTCTATCGCCCATATCATATAATAACTCAAAAGATGTGTGATATATCATCAAACAATTATGTTGATCGGACAGGAATCGTGAAAGAAAATCAAGTTAGAAATTTCAAAAATTAAATTGAAGATCATATGAACTTTGATTTCAGAAAACTTACAGTCGAACTGAACGTCTCAAGAATACGAACCCAACGACACTAAATTTGACTCAATCCGTGCCCAAATGAGTCCAAATCAAAAATCTAAAGAGCATTTGAAAGGTTCAAACCATTATTTGGATTATCAAACGGTTTCTAAATGTGACATGCTTATAGTCGAATCGAACGGCTCGATGAGACAAATCCACCTAGCCCAAGATCTCTAAATTTTGATATCATTAAGACATTCAAATTCCTATTAAATGGTCTATATAAAGGGGATCAACATTGTCCGTCCATTCAAACCACTCTCAGCTTGCCATTGATCTCCTTTTTATTTACTTGTCATGACACTCTCAAAAAACTTCATCCTGGCTACCGATTATTGCCGGACTTCCACTCGGCCGCCAATTGATGCAAAATTTCTGCCCGGCCACCAAGTAACGTCGGATTTCTTCCCGACCACCAAGTAAGGCCAAATTTCTGTCCAGTCACCAACTGATGCAAGATTTTTGCTCGGCCACTAACTGATGCCAATTTTTTGCCCGGGCACCAAGTGACGCCGGACTTCTGCCCAACTACCGACTGACACTGGACTTATAATCAGTTGTTGACTGGCGCTAGACTTCTACTCGGTTGCTAACTGAGGCAAGACTTCCACCCGGCCGCCAACTGACACCCGATCTCCAATTATTCTTGAACTTCCACCCAATAACGATCCTTCCAACCTTCTTTGCTAGATAATGATCTTATGTTCTCCGTCACCTGCCGACTATGATCTTTCCAACCTCTATCGCCCTCTAAACAATGGTCCTTCCGACCTCCGTCGCCCTCAGACTACGGTTCTTCTGACCACCGTCATCTGAATACGATCTTTCTGACCTTCGTCGCCCGTAGACTATGATCATGCAGACCAAACTAACATATAATTACTGATTCTTCTAATTTCCACCATGTAATGCATTTTATATGATGTATATTTGTTACATCAAGTTAAGGCCTTCCCTCTAATGAAGGCCTCATTTGTAATCAATTGTAAATATTAGTGGATTCATTCAAATTGGGTTACCCATGGTTTTTCTAATTTTTAGAAATTTTCACATAAAAAATCGTGGTGTCTCTTAAGAATGTTACACCCTCTCTTTTATCTGATTGTGTGTTGGATCTTCGTACAACGCTAAGACGTTAAGCTTTATATTTCTCAACCGCCGCGAATATTCTAGGACGCAACAATGTAAAATAATTCTTTTTAGAATATGAAAATTTTAAAGTAGAGCGCTTTGACACTATATATATATTATCTCTCGATTTCATAAGTTTTTACTGTGCAAATTTGGATATATTGTAGATTTCATCATTCTGAACTATTTGGTATGATTTTATTGCATTTTAAATAAAATACTGAATGATATCACATACATGACATGATAACTCTACATAATATCCCAGCGATCTAAGTGATTCACTGATTGCGAGTCATAAGGATATAGAGATTAACTGAGAGTTATAAGTAGACGGGACGACTGATTCATGTGATTTAATGTGAGTTATAAGGAGTAAATTGATTGAGAGTTATAAGGGGCGATTGATTGAGAGTTATAAATGCGCAAAAGGAAGCAAGGGCAGATCGAGCTTTTTTTTCAAGGTGGGCAATTTTTTTTTTTTTTTTTTTTTTGTGGGCTTTTTTTTTTTTTTTTTTGTGGGAGATGGGCAAAATTGCCTATAATTGATAAAATTAGAGCAAAAAATTTTAGAGGAGGACAAAATACCCAAAATATTCAAAATATTCTAAAATATCCCCTGAGCACATGGGGGATCCACCCATGGGAGCAAGATACCTTTAAGATATACTCATTAAACTTCTAATTACTGATACTGACACTGCTACGAATATTATATTGATATTGTGAATGACATTAATATTATTCATTGTCATGAATACTATTTAACGTTATTAATCATGATTATAATATTATTTTTGACATTAGTAATGTTGACTGTTACTATTATTTGTGACTAATGGTGTATGAATTGAGATGTGATGAACTATAAAAAGACAGATTGATATAGATAATCAGTATATATTTATTTATATGATTTATAGCATATAATTCTCTTTTATTTTGCATTAGTTTCAGTTTTAAGATTTTAGTTACTTTTTGGGCTATGTGCATAGTACGTGGTTTTACATATTTTCAGAAAAGGATAAAGATCCTATGATGCGAGGCTCTAGACAAGACAAAAATGCAATAATGTTTCTTTTCATTATTCATTGGTAAGCTTTAGTTAAATGATTAAAATGAAAGACATATAATTCTTCCAATATAGATCCTGGATTTTTAGTGGCAGCGTTCAGGCCCAACGACGGAGCGTTGAATGTTGAATTCAAAAATACTGTAGAACAGTCGCAACAGCGATTTATGGAGCCGTTGTGCTTTCAAGCATAGCGCCATAGCGCTACAAAGCACAATGTCGAAGCACTCTAGTTCAAACATAAATTCAAAATTTTCATATTTTTTTTTTCATTTTAAAATACTTCTGTCTTTGAGTTGTCACATTAAGTGCATTAGTAATGTCAAAATTAAGTGTACTTGAACTTTCTGAATTTGTCTTGTTGAGCAACTCGATTCAACTATAAGTATGCCAAATGTAGAGGTCATGTGGTCATTCAATTAATTTCTTGAAGTTTTCAATTACATTTCAGGCCCTTAATCTAGGCCCATTCGGGCTCGAATTGGAGCATTCGTCGAGACATCAGTTCAACCATAAGCCTGCTAATATTAGAGTTCGAATGATCCTAAATTTAATCTTGAAAGTCTCCAATTCAAACATATCTCGATATTCATACTCAATCTAGACAATTTTCAATGTTGTATCCCTAATAAATTTTAAATTATGCTTCTAAGTATTTAATCAACCAACCATCTAATTAAATACGATTCATTTGTATTTTTGTTGCACTCAAATCTTTTAAAAAATTTACTATCACCACATAACAAAACTAATTATAAAAACATTTAATTTCAACTGAATTTGTAGTAATTCAACGATAGTATTCCAGCGCTTATCAGAACATTCGAGCTGCTCAACCTATCAAATTTTCTTCGTTTTCATCTCAATTTATAGTAATAATTACAGTATTTTCCTTCTGTCACAAAAAGCAACTGCATAGTGTATACAAACATCGTAATTGATCGTAGTTACTAACAAATTAATTGAGTACAGCTCATTTACTTCGATTACTTGTGAAATTAATTTGTACGGATACTGACGTTGTCTGGAGGCTAATCAGAATTTATCATGTCACTTATTTACTATGTACCGCGGCTGTGTACCAGGTAACGTGGAGCATTCTGATTAGCCTCCAGACGTTCTAGTGTTTATACAAAATAGTTTCTCCTTGTTCTCGCTGCATGCAGCTAACTATGGATTCACAATATTCAATTAAGATTTTATTTTGGATGGGTTTTTATTGCATCTTAGAACAAAAATTTATATAAAAATTATCTCTTTTAGCAAAAACCTATTTAAAAAAATAATGCAAAAGCATAATGTTAATTATATACAAAATATAATAACTTTAGGAAAATTTATTTCTGCTTAGCCGTCTTTAAATCTTGATGGTAACACAATGTTGGTCAGTGCCCACCTTTTCTTCCCTGATTAATATTATCGAAGCAGAAATCAGACATTTTATGATAAGTATATAGTATGATAGTATCAGTTGTTTGATATAAAAAAAAAAAAAACTAATAAAAGCTATACATATTACGAACCGGCTTCTATAAACAGCCATTAGTGAACCGGTCACCGATGCTCCACGTCGGCCGGTACACTTCAGCAACGCCGGCCATCTATAAACCACATCTCGGACACCGATTCCCCTGCCACCGCGCCGCATGCGACCCATTTCTAAACATCGGCACGTACGGTCCAGATCTCCGCACCTTTCTGATCAGACGGCCTCGCAACGCATACCTGCATGCGCCTAAAAACAGCATCACGGAGTTACTTACCTACCACGGTCCTATATCCACTTGCCGTCAAATATAACGACGTTTGTTCACACCCACCCCCACCTAATCTTCCCTCCATAAAAACCGCCGAGACTTCCACCGAAAACAATAAGAATAAGTAAATAGCCTTCGTTTCTCTCGCCTCGGCGCGATGGATCTGTTAGTACTGGAGAAAGCTCTCCTCGGTCTCTTCGCGGCGGTGACGCTAGCCATCGTCTTCTCCACTCTTCGAGGTAAGCGATTCAAGCTTCCGCCGGGGCCGCTCCCCGTGCCGATCTTCGGCAATTGGCTCCAGGTCGGCGATGATCTGAACCAGCGCAATCTCGCCGCCCTAGCTAAAAAGTTCGGCGACATCTTCCTACTCCGAATGGGTCAGCGCAACCTCGTCGTCGTCTCGTCCCCTGATCTGGCCCGCGAGGTCCTCCACACTCAGGGCGTCGAGTTCGGATCCCGCACCCGGAACGTCGTATTCGATATATTCACCGGAAAGGGGCAGGATATGGTGTTCACCGTGTACGGTGAACATTGGCGCAAGATGCGCCGGATCATGACCGTCCCCTTCTTCACCAACAAGGTCGTGCAGCAGTATCGATACGGGTGGGAGGATGAGGCCGCGCGGGTCGTGGAGGATGTAAGGGCGAATCCGAAGTCGGCAACTGAAGGGATTGTGATCCGGCGCCGGCTGCAGCTGATGATGTATAATAATATGTATCGGATTATGTTCGATCGGAGGTTTGAGAGCGAGGAGGATCCCCTGTTTCTGAAGCTGAGGGCGCTTAATGGAGAGCGCAGCCGTTTGGCACAGAGCTTTGAATATAATTACGGCGATTTCATCCCTATTCTTCGGCCGTTCTTGAGAGGATATCTCAAGATCTGCAAGGAAGTTAAGGATATGCGAATTAGCATTTTCAAGAGCTATTTCGTTGAGGAGAGAAAGTGAGTATTGTTTCTTCATTCAGTTGGCCGGCCGGCTTGCCAAATTGAGTTTTGCGTGATCCTTTGATTGATATGAGTTTAAAAATTATGTGGTTTTTAGGAAGCTGGGGAACACGAAACCGACCGACACCACTGGGCTAAAGTGTGCCATCGATCACATCCTTGATGCAGAGAAGAAGGGCGAGATCAACGAGGATAACGTACTCTACATCGTTGAGAACATCAACGTTGCTGGTAATTTTGTCCGCTTTCTTTTATTTTTACTGATAAATTTTGAATTTTTTATGAAAGTGAATCGTAAATAACTAAATATTTTATTCAGGACAGAGCTCTGGGCTTTATATATATAATTTTTTTTAGCTCGGTTCCTTAATAAGCTGAACCGAACGAACAACACAGCTTTCTAATTGCTTTCGGCCAGTTTTTAAGAATTTTTTTTTTACTACGAACCTGCTTTTAAAAAATAATAAAAAATTAACTTAGACTAAGCTTTAGGTTTCAATTGAGATAACAATTTTATTATTTTTTGAGATCATAATTATTATTTTTATTTAGGCTTAATTTGAAACAGCTTTCTTATTGTTTTCTAAAAAACTGTTTTAAAAAATAATAAAAAAAGTCGTCCCAAACAAAACCTTAATTATTATATTTTTTCTTTTAAAGTATTATATACTAAAAATTGCTTTCTATAACACTATTAAAAAATTATTTATTATACCCTAATTTTAGAAGTGAGTATTTACATACATACCACTTTATTTCTTGCTATTTATATATCTATTATTCAAGACATTAATATTACATGTCTATCACCTATGTACAACTTTAATATTAAACATATCACTCTTATATTTCATTCATACCACTTATATCATCCTATGAAATTTAATATTTTATTCTGGTGGTAGACATATAATATTAATATTTTAGATTTAGATATGTAAATAACATGAAATAAAGTTGTATGTATGTTAGTAAGAAAGTCGTCCAAAATAAGAAACACTATTCTGTGCGGAGATTAAAATCAGAACACCGTCCGGAGACGAACCAGAATGCGCCAACGTCAGCGGTATCGAGCCGTGGTACCGAGTAGAACCGAGCCACGATACCGAGTGTAGGGGTGACATAGTGCATTTTAGTTTGTCTTCGAACTAAATTCGAAGTCCGCACAAAATAATTAATCCCAAAATGAAGCATAATAATTTGACTCATTTTACCCACCTTCACATAAGGGAAAGTCAAAACTCTTGGGCTGCAAATCCAGTAATTTGTATTTGATAAATTTTTACTGTGTCAAGTTCTTACACAAATTGGGTAGATTATTATTATAAATCTGAGCAACTTCTAATAAATTGTTTGACTATCTGTTGAGTAATTATTTATTAATGCCTTATAAGGCGCTGTTGACCTAGATGATTAATTAAGTAATTATTTATTAAATAACTATCAATTAATTAATTATAAAATTTCATTTATTGCATAATTGTATTTTTGTTAGGATAATACCGTTTAAATAGATTAATTTCGTGTTTCATCGGGTTAATTATTTCCAAATTAAATGGTTTAATTATATTTTAACTAAATGAATTAACTTGAATAATTAGTATATATTTAATAATAAATTTCTATGTTAAAACTTAATCTTACTTTAGCCATACTCATTAATAAATTTATTTAAACAGGTGATTTTTTCACCATATTCGCACGTGCTTGTTTTAATACTTACCTAACAGTGATATCAGAAATATTAATTTTTAACAACTTTTAAAGTATTGCGTAATACACTTTAATAAAGTAGAGCTTTAAGAAAATTATCTAACAATATCCTATCCTTTGCCAGTACTATTCCTTCCAGTCTGTCAACACATATAGTATGAGTTCATTATAATTTTAAAATATTTGGCTAAGTATAAAGGTTCCTTTCCTTCTAATAAATCGGTCCTTCATCGGCCCGTCAATAGCCTTATTGAATGGTCGGTGAGCGCTCCTCGGTGGCTGCAAGATCACCTACCATGAGCAGCCTAAATTATTATTTCATAAATTTCTGGGGTTGGTTTAGAAAATTTTATACATCCCAAATTAAGTTTGTTCAAATAAGAATGAATAAGAAACTTTTAAATTTCCTTATATAAGCCAGAATAATACAAAAAACAACATAATAGCACTAAGGCATCTATCCTTTTCCATAGCATCATGAATTTTCGGAGCAAGTGGTCAAGAGGTTGGTTGGTGGATGCATTGCTTTCCATTTTTAATCAATTAGAAAAAGAATGGCAGCTGGGTTAGGTGAGCCAGTTACTTTATAATTAAGAGTATTTTTAGTCCTTTTTAGGGACATTTAGCCCAATTAAGACAAAGTCATATATAGATCACATATATAAGACTCGAAATTAAGACATCTTAATTGATAGTCAAAACTCTCAACGAACAGATTAAGAAATCGCTATTTTTAGGCTTCATTTGGGGTGGCTTTCTTCCTGCTTTTTAAAATAATTTTTAGTACAAAAATTAAAATTTTTGTATTTAAAAGTTTCTTTAAGAAGAACTAAAAAAGCCTTCTCAAACGGAACCTCGGGCTTTGTTTGAGATGACTTTCTTACTACTCCTTTAAGCATTTTTCTAGTAAAAAATAAATTTTTTCTACTAAAAAGTTGTTTTAAGAAGCAATAAGAAAGTCATCCCAATCTTTAGTATTTAACTCTAAAAGAGAATCAAATTTAATCTATTTTATGAATATATTGAATTGAAAATATTTTATAATTTAGCTTCACTCGTGAAATTTTCTTATAACAAAAAAAAAAAAAATCTTGCTCTTGCAGCCATTGAGACAACCCTGTGGTCCATCGAGTGGGGCCTTGCCGAGCTGGTGAACCACCAGGATGTCCAGCGTAAGGTCAGGGCCGAGCTCGACTCAGTTCTCGGGCCGGGCGTCCAGATCACCGAGCCAGACATCCCGCGCCTCCCCTACCTCCAAGCGGTGGTGAAGGAAACCCTCCGCCTTCGCATGGCCATCCCGCTTCTCGTTCCCCACATGAACCTCCACGACGCCAAGCTCGGCGGCTTCGACATTCCAGCCGAGAGCAAGATCCTCGTCAACGCCTGGTGGCTCGCCAACAACCCGGCCCACTGGAAAAACCCGGACCAGTTCCGGCCCGAACGGTTCCTCGAAGAAGAGGCCAAGGTCGAAGCTAACGGCAACGATTTCCGTTACATTCCTTTTGGCGTCGGCCGCCGGAGTTGCCCCGGCATTATTCTCGCTCTCCCCATCCTCGGAATCACACTCGGCCGTCTGGTCCAGAACTTTGAGCTTTTGCCACCGCCGGGTATGGAGAGGATTGATACTACTGAGAAGGGAGGGCAGTTCAGTCTTCATATACTTAAGCATTCGACCGTTGTCGCCAAGCCAAGGAGCTTTTGATGGTTTGTTCAAACTGCTGTACTTACTTTTGTGGATTTGTTCGATTTGTCTTTGGATCGGGAGGAGGAGGAGGAGGAGGAGGAGGAGGAAGAAGGTGGGGATGAGAATAAATTAGATTGCAGTGTAATATATCAAAATGTTAAGCGCAATTATAAAATATTTTTAAGAATGTGTTGGTGGATCGAAAATGTCTTTTTTAATGCAGTGGATCTTCGCATATATTTCTTCTGAATGTTTTTTTTTTTTTTTTTGGTTTC